ATAACTTAATGGACCGAAGCGTCTTATCTCACTCTTACCTTCTTTTCTTACACTGTTCTTTCATGCGGTAATCTATCGCGCCTTCGCCGTTTTGGGTTCCAAGGTCAATCTGATTGCTACAATCGACTTATAAGCAGATTAGAAGCGAACCCTTAATTTTAACTCAAAATTGTCCAATACCATCAAAAGTGGCCCAGTATTCTAACTAATACAATTGCATTAGTAAGTGTAGAAGGGAAATGTACGAAGGAATTCAGAAACGAAGGCGGCAAACTGCTAAAAAGTTTAAAAATTTGTGATTGAAAGTTATAATAAGAAGGGATGAAACAGCGAGAAAAAGGGAATTTGGAATTTTGATTGATTGAAAAAATGATTGATTGATTGATTGATTTGATTGAAAAAGAAAGAGAAAAAAGAAAAAAGGAAAATGAAAATTAGAAAATTTATGACGTAAATATAATGGTGGAGAGGTGTTTCGGTCCATTAAGTCGTATACATTTTTTACCATTACCACAACTGTGAGTTTTGCCATCTCATCTGCATTGTTTTCGGGCTGTGTATTTATATATATTTTGCTCATTCAGGATCGACTTCGAACTCGTGCTGCTTCACTAAACTGTGATTATGAAGCAGCAGTACACAGTCAGGAAATGAAAGGTCTGTTCGCAGATGCTCTGACTGTCATGACGAAGAAGACCACGCTCCATATAGGTGATGTGCCGAAGATCATTCTGCCGAACGAACGACGTCGTTTCATGTTTTCTCGTTCAATAGATGAAATCTCGAAACATTTTCCAGCAAAACAACCATGCAAAGTTTGTTTTCCCTTTTTTGTTTATCGAATAGTTTTCAGGACGCATCGGACAGACGGCGATAACAACTGGAGTTATGTAGATCAGGATAGAAAGTACTAGTTTAGCTATGCCAAATTACAAAATGTTCTCCGTACAAAATGTTTTCCCGTTCATTTCAGTATCGGATTGAATCGGATGAATTGGCATTGCATTTGGCAAACAGACACGGCGTACGAGTGGTGATGTGTGCGAGTAGTGTAATGAAAATCCTATCAAATCCATGGGTTGGCGACTCGCCAAATTATGTCATACCGGTGGTGGTAAAATGCCATTTTAGCGAAAGAACCAGTAAGTTTTCCTTTTTCAGATTTTGGCATTATCGAGACTCTACCAGCTAATATTTTTAGACTAGTGGTATGCCCTGTGTGTGAGTGAGTGAGTGTGTGTGTGTATGTGTGTGTGTGTGTGTGCGTGTGTAAAACTCCTAGTGATATATACATATTTATAAATACAGAGAATATTAGATGATGCAAAACAAGCTGGGGAGCCGAAGCTCCCCAGAGCAGGAATAAAAGTTAAATAGATAGGTTGAGAGTAGTGATGAGTTGTGGCCCTCCT